TAAAATCTTTAAAAAAAAAAAAAAAACCTTATTTTATGAGGCCAGCATTACCCTGACACCAAAACCAGACAAGGACGACACCACAAAAAATAAAATAAAATTACAGGCCAATATTCCTGATGAACATAAATGCAAAAGTGCTCAACAAAATATCAATGGATTCAACAATCCATTAAGAGGATCATACAACCATGATCAAGTGGGATTTATTCCAGGGTTGCAAAAATGGTTCAATATCCAGAAATCAATCAATATGATACACCATCTTAACAAAATGAAGTCATACAATCATCTCAATAGAAGCAGAAAAAAAACATTTAACATCCATTTATGATAAAAACTCTCAACGAAGTAGATATAGGTGGAATATATCTCAACATAATAAAGACAATATAAGACATGCACACAACCAACATCATACTCAATGGTGAGAAGCTGAAAGCTTTTTCCTTAGGACTAGGTAGAAGACAGGGATGCCTGAGTGGCTCAGCTGATTAAGCATTTGATTCTTGATTTTGACTCAGGTCATGATCTTGAGGTCACAGGCTCTGTGCTCAGTGTGGAGTCTGCTTGAGATTCTCTCCCTTTCCCTCTCCCTCCCCCTCTGCCTTCTCCCTGCTCTCTCTTTCTCTCTCTAAAATAAATAAAATCTTTAAATTAAAAAAAAAGATCAGGTCAAGTATGCCAATTCTGACCACTTTTATTCAACATAGTGTTAGAAGCCCTAGCCAAACCAATTAGGCAGAAAAAGGTAATAAAAGTATCCAAATTGGAAAGAAAGAAGTAGAACTGTCATTTATTGAGAATGACATGATTTTATATGTAGAAAACCCTAAAGACATCACCAGAAAACTGTTAGAACTAATAAACAGATTCAGGAAAGTTGCAGGATACAAAATCAGTATACAAAAATCTATTGTGTTTTTATTCGCTAATGATAGACTATCAGAAAGAGAAATTAAGAAAACAATCCCCTTTACATTGCATCAAAAAGAATAAAATACCCATGAATAAATTTAACCAAGAAGGTAAAAGACCTATACACTAAAAACTATAAGACATTAATGAAAGAAACTGAAGAAGACACAAATCAATGAGAAAGTATCTGTCTTCATGGATTGGAAGAATTAATATTGTTAAAAAATCCGTATTACTAAAGCGATCTATGGATTCAGTGCAATTCCTGTCAAAATTCTAATGGTACTTTTTACAGAAATAGAAGAAACAATTCTAAAATTTGTATGGAACTACAAAAGATGCTTAAAAGCCAAAGCAATCCTGAGAAAAAACAGAGCTGAAGGCAGTGCACTCTGATCTCAAGCTACTACAAAGCTATGGTAATCAAAATAGTATGGTATTGGCATAAAAATAGACAGATGAATGGCATAAAATAGCCCAGAAATAAGCCCATGCATATATAGTCAATTAATTTAAGAAAAAGGAGGAAAGAATACACAGTGGGGAAAAGACAGTTTCTTCAATGAATGGTGCTGGGAAAACTAAACAGTCACATGCAAAAGAATGAACCTGAACCACTGTCTTACATAATACACAAAAATTACTCAAAATAGATTAAAGACTTGAATGTAAGACCAGGAACCATAAATTATTTAGAAAGAAATATAGGTGGTAAGTTCCTTAATATTGATCTTAGCAACATTTCTTTGGATCTGACTCCAGGAGGAATGGCAACAAAAGCAAAAATAAACACGTGGAACTACATCAAATTCTCCATAGTGAGAAGTTTCTAAATCATCCACAAAATTAAAAAGCAATCTACTGGAATGGGAATAGCTACCTGAAAATTACATATCCATTAAGGCGTTAATATCCAAAATATATAAAGAACTCCTACAACTCAAAACCAAAAAGAAACAATCCAATTAAAAGATCGGGAGGGGCATCTGGGTGCCTCAGTGGCTGAGCATCTGCTTTAGGCTCAGGTCGTGATCCTGGGGGTCTGGGATTGAGTTCCACATCGGGCTCCTGCGTGGAGCCTGCTTCTCTCTATGCCTGTATCTCTGCTTCTCTCTGTGTCTCTCATGAATAAATAAATAAAATCTTTAAAAAATATATGGGCAGAGGAACTGAATAGACGTTTTTCCAAAGAAGACGTACAGATGGTGAACAGGTGCATCCAAAGATGCTCAGCATCACTAATCACCAGGGAAGTGCAAATCAAAATTATAGTGAGATGTCACCTCAGATCTGGAAGAATGGCTCCTATCAAAAAGACAAAAAAAAAAGTGTTGGTGAGGGTATAGAGAAAAGGAAACTCTGGGCACCATTGGTAGGAATGTAAATTGATGCAGTATTATGTTTTCCTGTCCAAAAAAAAAAAAAAAAGATAAAACACAGTATGCAAATTTATTTTAAAAAATCCATCACATGACCCAGCAATTTCACTTCTGGGTATTTATCCAAATAAAATAAAAACATCAGTTTGGAAATATATATGCACCTGTATGTTTATTGCAGCATTATTTCCAATAGCAAGGTCATGAAAACAATGGAAGTTTCCATTGGTGACTGAATGGATAAAGCAGATGTGGTCTAGGGGCACCTGGCTGGCTCAGTCTGTGGAGCAGGAAACTCTTGATCTCAGGGTTGTTAAGTTTAAGTCCCATGTTGGGTGTAGAGATTACTTAAAAATAAAACTCTTAAAAAAAAAAAGAAAAAAGAAGAAGATGATGTGGTATCCATGTATAATGGAATGCTATTCCGCTATAAAAAAGAATGAAATCTTACTGTTTGCAACATGGATGGACCTTGAGGACATTCTGTGAAGTGAAGCAAATTAGAGACAGAAATACGATGTGATTTCACTTTTATCTGGAATTCAAAAACAAAACAAACCAACAAAGAAAACAAAATTCATGGATACAGAGAATGGTGGTTGCCAGAGGTGTGAGGAGTCAGGGGGTGAATAAAATGTATGAGGGGGGTCAAGAGGTACAAACTTCCAGTTATAAAATAAATAGGTCATGGTGATACAATATACAGCATGGGAACAATAGTCTATATATAATACTGTATCAAGGATTGGATGTTGAATAGAAAGTAAATCTCTCCTTTTTTTTAAGATTTTATTTATTTGAGAGAGAGTGAGAGACAGAGAGAAAGAGCATGAGCAAGAGAGTGGCAGAGGGAGAAGGAGAAGCAGAATCTCCGCTAAGCAGGGAGCCCGATGCAGGACTCGATCCCAGGATCCCAGGATCCCAGTATCATGACCTGAGCTGAAAGCAGATGCTTAACCAACTGAGCCACCCAGGCACCCCTAGAAGGTAAGTCTTAAAAGTTCTCATCACAAGGGGGAAAAACTGTTGTTTAAAAAAAAAAAATGAATAGAAGCTTCAAAGAAAAAAAACTCCTGACTCACCAGCTAACTAATTCTGTGATCTTTGGCAACTTGCTTAACCTCTCTGCCTGGCAGTTTCATCACTAATAAGGTTAAGAATAGTGCTTCACCATAGGGCTATTATAGGACTGAGTTAGTTAGCAATTGTAGAGCAATTAGAAAAGCACCTAGCAATTAGTAAGGGTTTAGTGAATGGATAAAGAAAACTGAAGCTTGGCTATGCCCTTAACAATATCCACATAATCATAATAATGTTAATATTGCCTTGTCAAGTACTGAGGTTCAACCATTAAGCAAAGCACAAATTGCCTAATTATTGGTATAGAACAGGATATAAGTTTTACCGGCTGTGAAAACATGCAAGTAAAAGTAGAGATTTACAGAAGTTGGGAGGTAGAAATGGGGAGGGTAGTAGAAGGACATGGTACTGACACTGCTCTTCTCATCTTATAAATGGTAAGTCAAGGGGTCTGTCTAAAGTAGATAGTACTGGGACACCTGAGTGGCTCAGTGGTTGAGCATCTGCCTTTGGCTTAGGGCATGATCCCAGGGTCCTGGGATCAAGTTCTGAATCAGGTTCCTTGCGGGGAGACTGCTTCTACCTCTGCCTATGTCTCTGCCTCTCTTTGTGTGTCTCTCATGAATAAATAAATAAAATCTTTTAAAAAATAAAGTTATAAAGGAATTAAAGCGGGAACTAAAAATAGACCTATATTGAAAAAGAGGAGGAAGAGGAAAGCTGTAAATGCATAATCCTCCTACGGCAAGTCTTAGATAATGCCTAAAATTGTTCATCAAGACACAACAGTATAATATATTATTCAGAGATACAGAGATAAACCCCAGGAAACCTAAAAACAGAAGAGAAATAATCAAGTTAAAACTACTTCCCTCTCTGGAGCAGGATTTCAACAATAGAAAGGACGTACCATGAAGCTCCTGCTTTTCATTATAAAACCTATATTACTTGAAAACTTTTAGTTATTTCCTTGTACTATTTTGAAGAAAAATGGAAACTTGGAAAAAAACAATACACATTTACACTTTCTATTAAGACAATTTTATAATTGTGAAGGTAAGCGGTTACTATAATTTGCCATCATTGGCATCTTAAATTGGTTTCAACTTCCCAAAGATTAAATGACTCCTATAAAATAAGGGAGTAAGGGAATGAAAAACACAGCATAGGGAATATAATCAATAATACTGTAATTACTTTGTACGATAACAGAAGGTAACTACACTTATTTGGCGAGCATTGGGTGATATATAGAATTGTCAGATCACTGTTATACACCTGAAACTAATATAATATTGCATGTCAACTATACTTCAATTTTAAGAAAAGATTAAATTTCTCTATGATACAGGGAGGAGGTTGGCATGTTGAACAAAAATTTTTGAGATTGAAGGGGTACAAATGACTCACCTTCCTAGGGAATCCTCAAGCCTTGGTCTCTCACTGTTTTAATCATATATTCTTCTCCCTCTCCCCAATTTGAACGATCATTAGTTTTCTAATGTCTCCAGAAGCTTCCACCATAGCCACAATTTCTCATATACACCTTAGTTTTCTTTCCAATTGGGATGGGGAGGAAGGTAAGAGGAATTTTTTTTCTTTCTTAAAGCCTTTACTTTTGAGACATGATGGAATAAGTGACAGGTACACATGGAGAAGACATGATCACAGTTAAAATTGAAGACAATCTAATCAGAAAGCTTTAATGCCTGTCAGCTAACGTTGAAAGCTAAAGGTCTGAGTGTGACATGCTGCAGGGCTGAAAGGAATGGTATTTAGTATTCCTCTCCTTCTTCTTCACCCTCTCCTTCAACAGAATCCACACCAACCTCTTCATAATCCTTCTCCAGGGCAGCCATGTCCTCATGGGCCTCAGAAAACTCTCCTTCCTCCATGCCCTCACCCACATACCAGTGAACAAAGGCACGCTTGGCATACATCAGGTCAAACTTGTGGTCCAGGCGAGCCCAGGCCTCAGCAATGGCTGTGGTGTTGCTCAGCATGCACACAGCTCGCTGTACTTTGGCCAGGTCTCCACCGGGTACCTTCTTGATATTGGGGAGGAAATTTAAGATCTCTTGTGGGTCTGTGGGCTCAATAACAGAGTTGAGTCCAATCATCTTAGAATCTCTGACAGTGGTGTGATGCCCATGAAACCAAAAAGACACAGCTAAGATCCCAGGTTCCTATTAAGCCATTACACAGAGACCAAAGGACCCCCATTGGGGCACCTGTGCCTTCTTCCTTATACTTTGCCCAAGTGCCAGGCAAGCCTGAGTCATCACAGGTTGAATCTGCAGTTTCTGCTCCAGCGCGTAGAGAAGAAGCCTATCTTTTTCTTTTTTTTTTTTAAGATTTATTTATGTTTAAAGAGAAAGAGTACAAGCAGAAGGGGCAGAGGGAAAAGGAGTGAAAATCCCAAACAGATGCCGTACTGAGTGCGGAGCCCAACTCGGGGCCTGATCTCATGACCCTGAGATCATAACCTGAGCTGAAACCTAGCTTCAGACGCTTAACTGACAGAGCCACCCAAGCATCCCAAGGAATGCCATCTTTTATATGATTAACACAGAGCCATGTGACCACTCGCTATTTCAGAAAAGGTCAGTCTGAAAAAAAAAAAAAAGAAAGAAAATTACAAATAGAGACCTCAACCCTGTTCAATTCCTTGGTTCTGGTTATTTCTAAGGATTATTTATATCCCTACCCTCAGGCTCTTGTTTCTTTTTTGTTTTGTTTTATTTCATTTGGGGAAAAGAGGCACGTAAGTTGGTTCTGTTACCTTGTAGCCTATATATGGTCCCTCCCAATAAGAGTTATCAAATTTCAAGAAGCAGCCTGGGCATCCTACGAGTCTATAGCTATTGAGTATGGAGCCTATGCTCCCTAAGAAATGGAGAGTCTTTCATCAAGTTACAGAACAGGATTTTCATCTACAGGGAGGAGTCCTACAATAAAGATATATTTTACCCAGGGAAAGAAGTCTCACAACCTCTTCCATAGCAGGTATGGAATATGATATCAAAAAAATCATATTCCCGATTATAAACTTCTGGGACTGTACTTCCACCAGACATATTTTTTTTCATGTTTTAAACCACCAGACTTCAGTTGTTGGCATGAGCTAGAAGTGAAAGAGGCTCTCACTACAGAAATAGATTTCCACAGAAACTAGTTTTATAATATTGATCTTCTTACCAAGTAATTTGTAATTCATTCGATCTTTATTCATTTCATATTCCTTCCCACTGAGAGAATGTTTGACTAGGGAAATAACTATGTGAACTGGACTACTTCTTTGCACCATGCTTATTGTTAAAGCTGGTTTCTCGGTGTTTAGAGGGTGGACTCTTCAGTCTTCTATTCCCAGTAAGCTTTATGATTTGTATTTAGTTTGCATGCTTTAACTAAAAAACAACAAACAATAAGCCAAAGTGATCTTTGCCATCAATTCTTTAAGGATACTACTTCATCTGGAGAGATGCCATGATTTCTAACAATATTTATAGCAATGGGCCCAAAATATAAGCAAATGAAATTAAGATTCATTTACACATTACATGATAAGAGCCTATTGAGGAATATAAATGTTTTGTCCTTATTCACATCTGGAAGTGTTTAGTTTTTCTATGAAAATATTTATGTAATGGCCAACTTTCCGGTTAGAAGAATATTAATGATTTCACAAAAATAATAATTTCAAAAGCAACTGGCCCTCTGTTTGATATGAATGATAGCTCTAGTTATTCCAGATGCTGATTAGAAAAATGTATTGAACAAAGAGTTTAACTCCATCTGTAACTTTCTTCTAATATAGGAAAAGAAAAGATGAGGGGTGCTTGATTGGCTCAGTTGATAGAGTATGTGACACTTGATCTTGTGTGTGTGAGTTTGAGCCCCACGTTTTGTATAGAGATTACTTTTAAAAAATAAATATAAACTTAAATATGAAAAGAAAAGAATTTCCAATTCATAGCTTTTAAAATTTTGACATAAAATTCACATACCATAAAATTCCCCCCTTTAAAGTACCGTTCAGTGGTTTTTGGCATAGTCACAAAGTTATGCAAACCATCGCCACTATCTAATTCCAGAATGTTTTCTTTTTTAGAAAATCTGTACTCAGGGCAGCCTGGGTGGCTCAGCGGTTTAGCGCCGCCTTGGGACCGGGGTGTGATCCTGGGGACAGGGGATTGAGTCCTGCATCAGGCTCCCTGCATGGAGCCTGCTTCTACCTCTGCCTGTGTCTCTGCCTTTCTCTGTCTCTCTGTCTCTCTGTCCCTCTGTCTCTCTGTCTCTCTGTCTCTCATGAATAAATAAATAAAATAAAATAAAGAAAAAAAGAAAATCTGTGCTCATTAGCAGCCATTTCCCATCTTCCTTCTCCCTAGCCTCTGCCAATCACTAATCTACCTTCTTTTTTTTAATAAATTTATTTTTTATTGGTGTCCAATTTACCAACATACAGAATAATACCCAGTGCTCATCCCGTCAAGTGCCTCCCTCAGTGCCCGTCACCCATTCACCCCCACCCCCCGCCCTCCTCCCCTTCCACCACCCCTAGTTCGTTTCCCAGAGTTAGGAGTCCTCATGTTCTGTCTCCCTTTCTGATATTTCCCACACATTTCTTCTCCCTTCCCTTCTATTCCCTTACACTATTATTTATATTCCCCAAATGAATGACAACATACACTGTTTGTCCTTCTCCGATTGACTTACTTCACTCAGCATAATACCCTCCAGTTCCATCCACGTTGAAGCAAACGGTGGGTATTTGTCATTTCTAATGTCTGAGTAATATTCCATTGTATACATAGACCACATCTTCTTTATCCATTCATCTTTCGATGGACACCGAGGCTCCTTCCACAGTTTGGCTATTGTGGACATTGCTGCTAGAAACATCGGGGTGCAGGTGTCCCGGCGTTTCATTGCATCTGTATCTTTGGGGTAAATCCCCAACAGTGCAATTGCTGGGTCGTAGGGCAGGTCTATTTTTAACTCTTTGAGGAACCTCCACACAGTTTTCCAGAGTGGCTGCACCAGTTCACATTCCCACCAACAGTGCAGGAGGGTTCCCTTTTCTCCGCATCCTCTCCAACATTTGTGGTTTCCTGCCTTGTAATTTTCCCCATTCTCACTGGTGTGAGGTGGTATCTCATTGTGGTTTTGATTGGTATTTCCCTGATGGCAAGTGATGCAGAGCATTTTCTCATGTGCATGTTGGCCATGTCTGTGTCTTCCTCTGTGAGATTTCTCTTCATGTCCTTTGCCCATTTCATGATTGGATTGTTTGTTTCTTTGCTGTTGAGTTTAAGAAGTTCTTTATAGATCTTGGAAACTAGCCCTTTATCTGATATGTCATTTGCAAATATCTTCTCCCATCCTGTAGGTTGTCTTTGAGTTTTGTTGACTGTATCCTTTGCTGTGCAAAAGCTTCTTATCTTGATGAAGTCCCAATAGTTCATTTTTGCTTTTGTTTTTTTTGCCTTTGTGGATGTATCTTGCAAGAAGTTACTGTGGCTGAGTTCAAAAAGGGTGTTGCCTGTGTTCTCCTCTAGGATTTTGATGTAATCTTGCCTCACATTTAGATCTTTCATCCATTTTTAGTTTATCTTTGTGTATGGTGCAAGAGAGTGGTCTAGTTTCATTCTTCTGCATGTGGATGTCCAATTTTCCCAGCACCATTTATTGAAGAGACTGTCTTTCTTCCAGTGGATAGTCTTTCCTCCTTTATCGAATATTAGTTGACCATAAAGTTCAGGGTCCACTTCTGGGTTCTCTATTCTGTTCCATTGATCTATGTGTCTGTTTTTGTGCCAGTACCACACTGTCTTGATGACCACAGCTTTGTAGTACAACCTGAAATCTGGCATTGTGATGATCCCAGATATGGTTTTCTTTTTTAAAATTCCCCTGGCTATTCGGGGTCTTTTCTGATTCCACACAAATCTTAAAATAATTTGTTCTAACTCTCTGAAGAAAGTCCATGGTATTTTGATAGGGATTGCATTAAACATGTAAATTGCCCTGGGTAACATTGACATTTTCACAATATTAATTCTGCCAATCCAGGAGCATAGAATATTTTTCCATCTCTTTGTGTCTTCCTCAATTTCTTTCAGAAGTGTTCTATAGTTTTTAGGGTATAGATCCTTTACCTCTTTGGTTAGGTTTATTCCTAGGTATCTTATGCTTTTGGGTGCAATTGTAAATGGGATTGACTCCTTAATTTCTCTTTCTTCAGTCTCATTGTTAGTGTATGGAAATGCCACTGATTTCTGGGCATTGATTTTGTATCCTGCCACGCTGCCAAATTGCTGTATGAGCTCTAGCAATCTTGGGGTGGAGGCTTTTGGGTTTTCTATGTAGAGTATCATGTCATCGGCGAAGAGGGAGAGTTTGACTTCTTCTTTGCCAATTCGAATGCCTTTAATGTCTTTTTGTTGTCTGATTGCTGAGGCTAGGACTTCCAGTACTATGTTGAATAGCAGTGGTGAGAGTGGACATCCCTGTCTTGTTCCTGATCTTAGGGGAAAGGCTCCCAGTGCTTCCCCATTGAGAATGATATTTGCTGTGGGCTTTTCGTAGATGGCTTTTAAGATGTTGAGGAATGTTCCCTCTATCCCTACACTCTGGAGAGTTTTGATCAGGAATGGATGCTGTATTTTGTCAAATGCTTTCTCTGCATCTAATGAGAGGATCATATGGTTCTTGGTTTTTCTCTTGCTGATATGATGAATCACACTGATTGTTTTATGAGTGTTGAACCAGCCTTGTGTCCCGGGGATAAATCCTACTTGGTCATGGTGAATACTTTTTTTTAATGTACTTTTGGATCCTATTGGCTAGTATCTTGTTGAGAATTTTTGCATCCTTTCAAAGAACCAACTCCTGGTTTTGTTGATCTGTTCCACAGTTCTTCTGGTCTCGATTTCATTGAGTTCTGCTCGAATCTTAATTAACTCTCTTCTTCTGCTGGGTGTAGGATCTATCTGCTGTTTTTTCTCTAGCTCCTTTATGTGTAAGGCTAGCCTTTGTATTTGAGTTCTTTCCAGTTTTTGAATGGATGCTTGTATTGCGATGTATTTCCCCCTCAGGACTGCTTTTGCCGCATCCC